ATTTTTTTTTTTATAGATAAAAGTAATTTAGACAATTGTTCGGACAATAATATATTCATTTGGATCAATAATAGAACTTGAAAATAACAAATTTTAATTTATTAATTATGTATTATTATATGATAGTTTAAATAAAATCGACTATTGGATTTTCAATTATAAAATATTTAAAATCAAAATCTAATAAATTACATCATTTATTACCTTCCCTTCTGTAGCATTTAAATAATAGACATCAATTTTTCGCTAAAGCCTTGTACTCATATAATTCCAAATCACTTAAAAATAGTCAAATTAAACTTAGCAGACAAAATTACTGAAATGAGAAACAAAATCCACGAAGTGAATGGACGACATAATCATAGGTAGAATAATATCTGCAATTGTAATATCAGTAATATTTTTAATAATAATAATATTACTGAATAAAAAACGCAGAAAACCAGTTGGAGGGGCCATCGACGTAGAGCAACTAATGATAAATGAAAATCAAAAACTAAAGATCGCGAATAAGCTTTTTGGTTGAAGAAAATTTTATTGTGAATAGTATTGGATTCATCAATAACTTTTGATGTTTAAGTGACACATATATAAGCCTATATAAAAGCTGCGCGCCAATACGTAAATATAAAACCCTTATAACATGTAAATATATTACCCTATAAGAAAAATGGTTCGGATCGGTACGGGTTGGTTTCGGACAGGCACGGGTCAAGATACGGATTTGTACGGGTATGGTCCGAGTTGGTACAGATTCGGTGGTCTGTATGGGACCGTATGCCCATGCCAAATGGACCATAAATGGTACGGGTTTTGCAGCAGTTTACTAGTCTAATCGGCACGAGATTTGGCATGGGTAATGATACGTAAATTCAGTGCTACCGCAATAACAAATAACAAACATGTTAAAACATAAAATTTATATTAGTAATCAATATAATACGAACAAACCAACTTCCTGTGATGTAAAAGAAAAATCATTTATTGATCTTTCGCTCTCCGCGAAATGAGCCAACACGTGTGCAACGTACACATACGTGTCATCTGAACGTGTTGTTCCGTATGATGTGATATAACATGCCACCCCTTGCCGAAATGTCTGTGCCATTCCGTAAAACGTGCCTGTGCATGCCACACAATCCGTGCCACTCCATACATTCCCAAAACCAACCCGTACCACTTTTCTTATACGTATGGTTAATTTTAGGGTCAATCTTTTAAAATATTACTGGAATAGTCAATTCATTGCTTATTCAATTGGTAATTTACAATAAATTTTTGTAATTTAAATCATAATAAGGTATAAGAGATCTGCATTCATGAAATTAAAAAATATTAAATAAAAAATGGCGTCAAATTAATTATTACAATGCGACATTTCTTGTATATATATACTAATTCAATTAAACAATTAGAAATCTTCCTTTGAATGAATTTGCGTTAAAAATAAGTTGTATAAATTTCAATTCTATAAATAAAACATGCTGCTAAATCAATAATATAACGATCGACAACTTGTAATTTGAGAAATTAAGAGTCTGCGAGAAAGAATTCGTTAACAGCAAATTCAAAAAAAAGAACAAAAATACTATTAAACAAATCTTGAATTTAAATTTTTGGCCAAAAAAATTAGAACAATTCAGTTGATTCAAAATTTCTTGCTAACAATCTTGTTTATTTATTGCACGATTTTGAAAATAAAATTACAAATAAAAAGCAAGCAGAAGACCAAGTTAATAAAGCTATCAATGAAATTTTAAATCTTTGAAAGAGGTTATATTGTTAAAAGGCTTTTAAATTAAATTGTATATTAAGCTTAAATAAATATACTATTACTAAAAGCTATCAATTTACTCAAGCTATTTTATATTTTTTTCATAATAAAATCTAATTCTTCCATCTGTATTTATACAAAATGTGAAATTTTTGTCATTCTCTTGAGTGGTAAGCTTTCCTGCTTCTATGCTCCCGGTGTAATTATTTCTTAGAATACTGTTATGAAAATGGGGTTGGATGTGATAGAAATAGTGATGCGACCCGAAATCCATTGGATTCCATTTTAATATTTAATCCAGTGAATATCCATTGGATTTAATATGAAAATGGAATCCAATGGATTTCGGGTCACATTACTAGATAGAAATGAGAATGTTGCTTTATATAGCAGCAAAAGCTAATTTTCAACCCAATTCTCAAAAGTATAATTAAATTTTAAATATGACAAGAAAGAATCACAATTATAGTTGTTAGACGAAACCATGTGATGTACCAAACATCGATTAAATTTTTAGGTCTGACAGGTGATGTTTATCATCACATGGATTCGTCTAACAACTATAATCTCTAATAAAACTCTTTGAATATTGGGATTATTTGGATTAATTTTTATATAATACGGGGCAGGCAAAATTTTTTCACTATTTTTTTTGGTGAACTTAATTGGTAAGTTTCGAAAAATTACGAGAATACGAAGTATTTAAAGTGTATAAAAAATCAATATTAAATTGGCTAAGCCACAATGTAGATCATCCAAAATCACTTAACAAAATAAATTTTGAAATTTTCTTATCAATAATGAAGCATTCCATTACTTCTTCTAAAGGTGATGATTTTGAAAGTAGAGTTTTTAGATACCTTAGAAATGAATTAAAGATTGACTGCCAAAGGGTGAGGTGAGATATTAAATCACTAAGTGATCGTTTAGTCGTTATATATCTAAAGTTACGCTGCTACTAGGATAATAAGATAGACAGAGAACTGGAAGCGCACCGCGGCCACGGGGAATGTTACAGAGCCAAGTAATAATTACTTGTGAACGTCCTTCTCTGTTTGTCTGTTATCCGAAAAGATGCATTTGGGTCTGTGATGAATAGGGTGTATGGATAAATGACTGAATTGGCTCCTTTATTTTTATTGACGATGATAATGACAATTGCTTACCTTATTTATTACTATTTTTTATAGGGAGGTGATGGTGGCATAGATATTTATCAATATTACTTATTATTGTTTCAATGCAAAGATCTTTCTAGTATAGTTGACATTGATAATAATTATCTAATAGTGGCAAATCATAACCTTTATCTTCAAAATCAATTGATACGTCTGCTAGCACTGATTCAAAACCTACTTTCTTAAAGATAGACCAAGAACTGACATTTTTAGGTCTAGCTGCAGCACTGAATTGTTCTAATTCTTTACCATTAAATTGAAAGATTTTTTGAATTTTTTGTTTATTCTGTATGTCCTAAACTAATTCTGCGTACTTCAGGACCCATTCATTAATAAAACTGATTGCCCAATTCCTCTATCCCAGTATTTGTGAGATAATGCAAAGGCTATTTCTAATCTACCTTTTTTTTCAGGTTTAGATCTTATGAATCCTATGAAATTACTTTGTTCATCGAGAATGATGAGTGCACCTTTAGGTTGTCTAATTCGATATTCGTTATTTATTCTAAATTCAATTTCATTACTTTTTAGTTGCCTATCGTGATACATATATTTCATAATATTTGCTTTAGATAATAAACATTCATAATTTTGTATGTCATGCTGCTGCATTTCTCGAGCAAACCATCCTTTGTTATTTTTATCAACACCACTAAGACATACAGATAACAAATCATTTTCTGAGTATTTAAAAATTGATCTTGCCATACTTTAAACGAGTGACAACCTCCAAACTTTTAAGTATTTTTGTTACAGATCCTTAAAAATTAATTTTTAGAGAAAAAATAACTAACAGAATTTATAACTGCAGTTTATTAATTATTATAAACGATTTTAAATTAGAATGATTCGGTGTCGGTTATATAAGAATATAATAAATATTAATATCTATTCACAAACTAAAGAACAATACAAGTTGGTTAGTTTTGTTCATACATAACGATATTTAAATTAAAATTTACATTTTGTTTTTATTTCAGAGGAATATTGAATACCATATTTCGTGTAATAACACTCATGAGGGTTATTTCGAAACCGTGCCCCTAAAAATTATTTATGGTTTCAAAAAATGCCATGTGCCATCCCAAAATAGCACGACCCATAGTAAGAGATATTTATTTATAGTAAGATTTAAAAAAATACCTCAGAACTGGATTTAGTACTAAGTAAACCTTCCTTTGAGCTTAACAAAAGTTGTTCTAAAGAACAACTTTTGTTAAGCTCAAAGGAAGGTTTACTTAGTACTAAATCCAGTTCCGAGGCATTTTTTGTTTTTTTATACAAGAAATATATAAATTTTTTATTTATCTCAAAATAATGTCCATAGTGATATCAATTATTTTTAAAAAATTGTAAATAAAATGATAGAATTACCGTAAATCATCTTATAAATTATCATAAAATACTCCTTGACAGTAAACCCCTCACATTATACATTGTTAGCTTAGAAGTGTGATCCTTGATGCACAGGAACATGCTTATATTGCCAATATGGCATATATGGTATACTGATATAAAGACATATAAGAATAACGGTTATAATCAGGGTATAATCATCTACTATTTAATTTTACTCTTTTTTCGTAAAATAAGCATAAAAATAATTTATGAAGCTAAGTACTGTTCTTTTGCAGTATATAATCAATCACGTGATGTTTGATGTAAAAAAGTAAAGTAATTTTAGAGTGCATTTAGATGTATCAAAAAAGTTAGTTAAAAGCAATAGTATAATAATTCTGGTTACAATGTAAATCGCACTGTATTCTGGCAAATGCTCCACAAAATCAAATCAAAATTTGAATTTGTATCAAATATTTTCAAATATTTGATACAAATTCAAATTTTGATTTGATTTTGTGGAGTACTAGAATCTTGTGTAAATCCATACACAACTAAAGACTTTCTGTCATCATCATTATAATGAATTTCATTATAATGATGATGACAGAAAGTCTTTGGTTGTATATGGATTTACACAAGATGGTATGAAATTAACCAAATTAACTGATTTACCTGATTTACATATTACTAAGAATAATATTTTTTTCTAGGACTATTTTTAGAGCGAGCAAAATTATGCACCGCAGAATTCTGGACACTCTGGCGGGATCACTCACGTGATCCGCTCGGGATTGGATTTTCGAAAATGCGTCAAAATTTTACCGCGACCTCGGAATATTTCGGATCCCGACCAGATTTATGATGCTGCCCAAATAATATAATATATCCCACACGGGATTTTTTTAAATTCTGCGCATCACACGCGGATTACGCGCGGTGCCCATCACTATATTTAAGTCAAGTGTTTAAAAGTTTATTAAATATGGTTTATAATAGTTCAAATTCAAAAGTCTTTCTTTTGTTACAAGGCCAAACTACAACTTTTTTCTATCTTCCGCTATCTATAAGAGGCGAAAGGAGCTTTAATAAATAATTTTCTCTGCTAATTCTTAGTAAGTGACATTTAGCATCACATGGTTTCGTCTAATAACTATAGATGGAACTAATAATACGAATAACAACTAATGCAACTGAGCTCATTCAATTCTGAAAATTTTATTATTTCTGTTGACAAATTAACTTATTAATTTAACGTTGATATAATGTTTAAAGCATTATTTTTATTTCTTTTGATATTATTATATCCAGAAATATGGTAGAATGCTTTAAAACATGTGGCAAGAAATCTAATCTCACTGTTTCTACTAGAAGTAAATTTTGAAAAAATATTAAATGCTTCTTTATATTTTTTCTTATTGTAAAGTTCTAATGCAACTTTAAAAAAATTGTCTTCTTTTGGATCATGTTCATTGATTTGATAGCAATTTGTCATTTTAACTAATGCTGTCAATTTCATTTCATCACCTTCAGTTAGTTCTCGATAAATATTCCAAGCATCATTATACTTTCCTTTATTGTATAAATGATCTGTGATGCTTAAGGCTTTAGGTTTATCTTGTTTTACACCATTACCATGTATATAACAAAGCGCTAAATAAAATGTCGACAGGCTATAGATTTTAATTTCACTTTTGTCGAAAGAATCCGAATAATCATAGCTAGCTAGGCTTTTAAAAGTAGAAAAAGCTGAACTATATTTTCTTTTATTGTATTCATTAATCGCAGCTTTAAGTCTAGAATCATCCCAACTTTTACCTTCTGGTTCCATAGTTTAACCTGAAAATTAAAATTGAAAACATTAGGTATTTATATTTTGAAAAAATAGATAATTATTATTATGTTATTCTTCAAGAATAACATAATAAATTAACCCGTTTATAACAAGAAAATTCTTGCCACAAAATTGTCAATTCAATTTAAATACAGTAATTGTAAAAAAGACTTTTCTTATAGTAATTGGAATTTAATACGAAAGTCTATTCTAATAAAGACTTATTTTACAAATTATAATTTATTGAATATTGTTTTATGCCAATTAAGTGATAAATAAATCCTGCAAGATTATTGTCATACGAAATTCTAACAAAAAGATTGCTTATTGTTTTTGTCAAACAACAAATTACTTTAAGAATTTTAAATTTATGAATTGTATAATTAATTTAAAAAGCACTTAATTCTACTTTTAATTAAATTATGAATTTATAACTAATTTAAAAGCATTTGATGCTGGTACTTAGACTATTATTTCTTCAGTTTGTATTGATTACCGTACAAGCGCGAAATAATGCCCACCTGCGCATTATTTCAAGTGCGTTACTTCAAAACAAGAATTAAATTCACCCTAACTATAATAAGAATAAAAAAAGTGTACCGGAACTAGATTTGATATTAAGTAACCCTATTTTTTGGCTTTAACAAAATTTGTTCTTCAGGTCGAGGCGATTCTACAGTGGTAAAATCATCAAAACAGTCCTACAACATTTTTTTTATCTTTGTTTACAGATTATGTAACCAAAGGTAAACAAGCGTTGCAAACCTTTAAAGAGGCATTGCGGGCAAACTACTGACTGATTAGATCGTCTCAACCTGAAGAATAAGTTTTGTTAAAGTCAAAAATAGATTTACTTTACTTAATATCAAACCAGCTCCAAAGCACTTTTATCTTTTATTTATTATAGGGACGCGCGTTAATTCAGAACGCCCATGGGCATTAATTTGAACTACTTAAACTATTTTAAGGAAATCTGATTTTGAAATAACGCCCCTGGGCGTTATTTCGCGCTTATACGGCAAATAGAACTAGAGTTTGGACTTACAATACACGATTGTTCACATTTAGTGATGAGACTAACAATATCTGATATGAAAAATTAATTGTTCGATTTGAAGAATAATAATTTTTTAATGTAATGGGTATGATATTTGAATTTTTAATTTTTAAGTCCTATCTCTAAATATGAATTTTCAATTTATAAGAATAATTTCTATACATTTAATCTGGTAATTAAATTTTACAGTAAAATAACTGTCACAGCTGATGCTGAAATTTTGATTATTTTATTATTAAATTTTTAGAGTGCATTTTTTTAGTCTTCATATAATAGTTTGAGTAGAGTTTAGGGTCAGGGTTTATTAATTAAAGTGTATAGATGGGTTTTCGTATGTTTTATAGTTCTAAATAGTAGGGTTGGGGGCACGGGGTCGTTAGGCATGCCTCATGGGCATGCCCTATCACGTGATTATCAATAGTGGTTATACAACTATTTGATTGGCTATTATTATATAAATCCGATGCATCGTATATGCATATGTTATTGTTCTTCAATGCAATTATTAATCTATCATTTTCCAAATAAATATTTAAATCTAATTTTTGGCTGCCATTATAAAGTTTCAATCCATATTCCATATAAGGATATTATTCATTACTTAGCCAGCGTAAATAGCTAAAAGGATCAAATGGCATGATTCCTGCCTAAGCTTTGGCTGATAAATTAAGCATACCTCTCCTGGCGAAAAACATAATTATAGTAGAAAGTATCATACGATTGTTATTAAGGGATTTATCATTCCTAAGCCCATCTAAATAAGTTGAATGTGTGTTCAAAGCCAACCAACTCAACATGAGAAGCATAATTACGCTACAAGAATTGGATATTTATCATTCATTATAAAGACGCAAATTGAAAAATGGTGTGCATGATATTAAGTGAAAGAGAATTAGAATTCTATAGTTGTTATTAGAAAGGCATAATTAAGAAAAATGAAGTATTATATATAATATTGAAATATAAAATCTGATATTTGAAAAAAATGTATTTAAGCTTTGCTTTTTGATTTAAATAAAGCATCAAAATTCAAATTATATTCGTTTAATAAACTTTTGAAATTTGAAATATTTCTTGCTTATATTTAATAAATTTAATCATTTCTTGATTATATATAATACATCATAATCGACTCATTTTTATCGTCATACTTAAATAATCTGAAATTGTTACATTTTATATTTGCTTATAAATAAATTTAAACTACCTTCTTGTCAAAATCACAAAGCGATGACTAGGCCACACATTATGCAACCTCCTCCAAGTTTCACATTTCTACTTTCAACACAAGGTCAACGCTGGAGCGGCTTTTATCGCTCTGATCAAAAAAAAAAAGGAAATAGATATGATGCGAAATGCAAATATTGCTTGAGTGAGTTAATTAGTAAACCTGCGCAGCTTCATCAGCATGTGCTTAGGTGTAATGATTGGCCTGCTTCTGAAAAGGCAGTTTATCTTCAGAAAATTAATGAAGAAATTCTTGCACCTCGCAAACGTACTCATGATGATGAAGATGATGCTTCTATTGAACAAGATTCTGAAAGCACAAATCAGTTATCCACACACTCTCGTCAACGTACTATCCGTGATTGGTGTGCTCGACCCTTATCTCAAATGCAATCAGAAAAACTCCATCAAAAACTTTTAAAAGCTATTGTTTTTGGAAATATCCCCTTTAGTTTCATTGAAAATCCTTACCTACAAGATTATCTTTGTGATTTAAACCCTTCTTATAATCCTCTTTCTCGAGATATGGTCAAAGGACGTCTCTTAACTGAGATGTTCTCTGATCATATTCAGAAAAAATTGAATACCCTTCCTACCCTAAAAGATCTCACGATATCTTTAGATGGATGGACTGATAATTCTGGTAATTCTATTTACGGGTTTATGGCTCTTAAAGAGCATCAGAAAATTGTACTGGATATTCTTGATCTGTCTGCATATCATCATACAAGCGAATTTCTTAAAGATAAAGTAAAAGAAATTTTATTAGTAAATGGTATTCAAATATCATCTACTATCGCTATTGTTACTGATAACACTTCAAACATGGATAAAATGAAACGAATACTTCATGTAAGTAGATATATTTTTTAATATACTGAAGATGTTAGTTGTAATTGCTAAATATACTTAATTGTTAAATTTAGGATGAATACCCTAATTTAATTTCTATTCGCTGCTGCTTACATGTTTTTAACTTGATTGTTAAAGATATTGTTAGCTTTCTCTCTGCCACTTCTGTTTGTAAAAAGAACCAAAAGCTTGTAAACTTTTTTAATTCGTCACATATCTGGTGTCAGGAGCTGCAAAACTGGCAAAAAAATCAAAAAATTAAACACACCTTGACAACATTTTGTGAAACAAGGTGGTATTCACTTGCTAAAGTTTGCATGGGAGTATCGGCATATGAACAAGGTTTTCAGTATTGTCTAACATTAAGCGAAACAAAACGTCCCAAATATCCTGAAATCGATAATACAACAGTTAGAAATCTTATCTGTGATAAATTTCATTTTGCTACTAATGATACTTTGACAAAAGTAATTAAGCCAATAGTCGATGCTATTGGAAGATTAGAATTAAATGATTCTACTCTTGCTGATGTTTTTAAAGAACTTATCTATATCTACTAACAATTATCCCAACTTGAAGTTCCTATTGATGGTTTCTAGGAGCACGCTCTTGCTGTTATTAACAATCGGGCAAGAGAATTTGACAATGATATTTACTTCATCGCATTTTTTCTTTCCCCAACTCATAAAAATCTGGCCATATCTAAAAAAATGGATGAAGAAAAAATTACCCGTGTTTTGCTGGAATTGGCTAAAGCATGAAATTTTAGTAAAAGAGACATAGGTCTTTTATTAAAAGAACTCATTAATTATAAAAATAATGACCCTCCATTCGACAAAAATTTTCTCAATCTATCAAAAACTATGTGGTCATTCTGGAGTGAATTTACTAGAAATGCGCCCTCATTACATTGTCTTGCGATAAAAGTTTTTGCTATTGTTCCTCATAGTGCTAGCTGTAAATGACTTTTTTCATCGCTTGGTCTAGTTAAATCCAAAATTCAAAATAAAATAACCCCAGACAACCTTTCTATACTTGGGCAGCTCAGAAATGAGCTCAAAAAAAAGGTATCTTCTCAAGCCAGGCAAAAAAGAACTACTTCTGAGCCTTTAATTGATGATGATGAAAATTTGGATATCTTCTTTAATGAGAAAGATGAAGTATTAGAGGATTTAGATGAAGAGCTGGAAGAAATAATGTTAGAAAATGAAATATCTTATATAGAGGAACTTTTTGACTTTGAAAAGAAAGACCAGGAAACATTAGCAAATTTGTTCCAGGTCAATGTAAAACAAGACGAAGATTGGTCTGTTGATGGCATTCTTCTTGAAAACCAATAGAACTATAACTAAATAAAATGTAATAGATTAAATATATTTTTTTTATTAATAAAGAAATTTTGTCTGCAAGTAAAATGAATTTAGTGTACATACGTGGGCATTACTATACTTATATATGAAAAGTTCACATGATTTTTCTATAAGGAGCATGCCTCAGTCCGAGGCATGCCCAAAAGGACATGCCCAAATATTTTTCTGTGCCCCCAACCCTACTAAATAGAGACTCCAAAATTTCAGCTTCAGCCGTTTTCAGCATCAGCTGCGACAATTATTATAAAAAAAATCTGGATATTTTAAATAGGAAAACAGACATTTCTACATAAATATGTCTGATAAAGTACTATAGATATATATACTCTCTTAGTTTATACATAAGCCAAAAGGTAAATTTTTTTTTTTTTTTTTTTTTTAATATTAAAGGTGACCACTTAGGCCATTGGCATGAGCTTTATTTCGGATAGTTACG